CTGCGCAGTCACGGAATTCCTGGCCCCGGCCGCTTCCTGTTCCTCAGCCACAGGTGTCCGCGCCGCGCTCCTGCGCGCAGCTGCAGGGGCTGTGGCAGGTTGGGCGCTGCTTGGGACGAGCTAGAACGCTTTGCAAGCTTGAGTTTCGAAGGAAGCTTTCGGGCGCCGGATGGAGGTCGCAGCGCTGCCTTAAAAAACCTGCCTGACCCACCGTTCCCATTTGCCACTGCTGTCTTCGTTTCCGTTGTTAGGATGGGAATGTTAAAGTCCTGTGACACCACCCATTGTCCCTAGCACCTTGCTGCCCTGCTAAACCGAAACTTTTGCACCCCCTAATCTATGTGACTGGCATATATATATATGACTTGGGAGGAAGCAAGCCTTTCAAACGGCCTTTAGAAATACCAAGTGTCTAAGGACCTCCGGCCTTTTGAAAATAGGCGCGGCTGTAACCTTATGTCCTTGGCAATGTAGAGGGGGTCATGCTGCACGCCAAGGCCGGGTAACACAGTTCTACCCAACTGCATTAATTGCACCTTACTTATAAGGGAAAGCCAGACTATTCATATATCAACCATGTATCGGCTATAGAGAATCGAGCAGCTTTTGCGACATTCTGAGCAGCGACCAAATGCTAAATTAGCAGGTCTTATCTTAACACCATGTTAGAGATGGAGAAATTGCTGTAGGTTATGGTATACACCTTTCTCCACCCTTCAGCTGATATGTCAATTCCACGAATAAAAAGATTTTTGTCTTGACCCCTATTATAGTTACATCTCCTAGCACAGTGCCTGGCACACATAGTTGGAGGTAAGTGCTATTTACTGAATGAATTAATGGAAAATGAGTTCCCAAGGTTTCTCAGTGGTAGGGGAGCCAGAATGATGAATCCCAGTCTCCTGATCCTAACCAGGGCTTCTAATTTGCCGTGAGGGGTGGGGTGTGACTAGCAGGATCCCACAGGTAGCCCCTTGCAGAGGTCACTCCAAGATAAAACAACTGTCATTTCAACTTCTGGTGATTACCCTATTGGGAGCTTGTTAGCTCCCTTGGCTCACTAGAAAAGGAAAATTAGATTTCATCACTACTTTTTTTGGGGTATCTATTGCTCTCTGATTAAGCACTGAAACTGAACTCTTCCTTTAGTCTTTCTGTACCTGGTGTTCTGAAACAGAAGACCAGACAATTAATAAAACAATCCTCAAATAATATTTACCGAGTATCCATTGTGTGCCCAGCAGAGCTAGCATAACAGAAGCCTGGAGGGAGATAAAGAAACTATTAATATTTAAAATCTAAAGCAAGAAGGCATTTTAACAGGTTGGAGTCATCACAGAAAAAAATTAGCATTAGAGGCACAGAGGACAGACTAGGTCTGATGTAACAAATGGATAACAGACAGATATACACAGAAATGTGAAGATTCAAAACTTTAACATACATGAAGGCTTCCCACGCTTTTAGATTGTGTGGGGGACGTGGACCATGGAAAACTGCACATTCACTATGCGAATCAGTGCCCATCCTGTATCTTAATCTGAAGAGTCTTCCTGGGGGAAATGATCATTCCGGAAACTCAAAGCAATGTGTCGCCAGCCTTGGACATGGGAGTTGTCTCCTGCCCTTGGAGTCTAAAAGAAGACAAGGCTTTACACATGATCGCAAAGAGATTAGAATGAGAAAGCGCAAGAGAGGAAATCCGATTCTTTCATGTTCCATCTGAAAAGAGTTACTTATGATTCCATTCTGGAAAATCATCTGTCCAGCATATTTTGGTGGTGTGCAGAAATTTGGCAGAAGTTTAGAAAAATAGGATTCTAAACCAAAGTTGCAGAGTTATTGAATAGGCTAGAAAAACAGGAAATTCAGCAGTCATCAACCAAACAGTAGGGGCAAGACAACCAATGTTTAAAATAAAAGGGATGGTTCTGACTGGTTTGGCTCAGTGGATAGAGCGTTGGCCTGCAGACTGAAAGGTCCCAGGTTCGATTCCAGTCAAGGGCATGTACCTTGGTTGCGGGCACATCCCCAGTGGGGGGTGTGCAGGAGGCAGCTGATTGATGTTTCTCTCTCATCTCTGTTATCAATGTTTCTAACTCTCTATCCCTCTCCCTTCCTCTCGGTAAAGAATCAATAAAATATATTTTTTAAAACAAATTAAACAAAAAGAATGGCCTGGCCAGTGTGGGCCAGTGGTTGAGCATCCACCCAGGAGCTAAGAGGTCACTGGTTTGATTTCCTGTCAGGGCAGATGCCTGGGTTTCAGGCTTAATCCCCAGTAGGGGGCAGGATTCAATGAAGTTTCTCTCTCATCAATGTTTTCTATCTTTCTATCCCTAACCCTTCCCCTCTCTCTAAAACATATTTTTTTAAAAGGACAGGTATTTAATGTATGAATATTTATTGAGTACCTGCTATGCTCCCAGCATAATGCCAATTATAGAAAATTCAGAAGCAGATTCTGTCCTGCAGCCCAGACAGCAGAAACCTAAGACATCTTTATAAAAGAAGACCAGCCCGGCCAGTGTGACTCAGTGGTTGAGCATCAACCTATGAACCAGGAGGTCACGGTTTGATTCCTGGGCAGGACACATGCAGGCTCAATCCCCAGTGGGGGCCGTGCAGGAGGCAGCTGATCAATGATTCTCTCTCATCATTGATGTTTCTATCTCTCTTTTCCTCTCTGAAATCAATAAAAATATATTTTAAAATAGGGCCAATCCTGGTATGTTTTTTTTTTGAAGGTACATTTATCTAAATACCACTTTCTCTTAGTTACCATCCCTTTATTTTTATTTTTATTTTATTTTATTGATTTTTTATAGAGAGGAAGGGAGAGGGATAGAGAGTCAGAAACATCGATGAGAGAGAAACATAGATCAGCTGCCCCCTGCACGCCCCCTACTGGGGATGTGCCCACAGCCAAGGTACATGCCCTTGACCAGAATCGAACCTGGGACCCTTCAGTCCACAGGCTGACGCTCTATCCACTGAGCCAAACCAATTAGGGCTATCATCCCTTTAAAGATACTAAAATTCCCAACCTCCTCACCTCCCCCCAAAATAAAACTTTTAAAAATGCAAACATTTATCCATTTTTTCACCCATTAAAGAATCATTTTTATATAAACCTAATATGAAAAACAATATTGAAAAAGAAGTATGGAGAACTCATACTTCCCAATTTCAAAACTTACTACAAAGCTACAGTCATCAAGACCATGTGATACTGGCATAAAGCTAAACATATAGGTCAGTGGGATAGAATTGAGAGCCCAGAAATTAATCCATATGGTTATGATCAGTTGACTTTGACAGGGTGCTGAGACAATTCAGTGGGGGGAAAGAAAAGTCTTCTTAACAAATGGTGCTGGGGCAACTATATATCTGCATACAAAAGAATGACGTAGACCCCCACTTCACAATTTATACAAAAACTAACTCAAAATGAGCTAAAACTATCAAATCCTTAGAAGAAATTAGAGACAGAAATCTCAGTGCCCATGAATTAGGCGACAATTTCTTAGGTGTGACACCAAAAGCACAAATGACAAGAGAA